CAAAACGTTAACCTATGCACTTGATTTATGCGGCATCAAAGCAGCTAAAGGTAGTTTTTAACAAGAGACTTGATTATGTTGTACAAGGTGAGAGGCTTTTACCCTCGTGCAGCTGCAGGACCTGTTAAGTCCTGGAGGTAACTGGGTGGATGATAAAGGTTTGTCTCAGTCTTTTTTCTGGACATCTTGTAGCTTTTTATTTTTTTAATGGGCAATCAGTCGCAGACAGTCTAAGGAAGGAATAGATTTTACTACTGCTGTGGATAATCAAGGCAAAGGAGAATGAAGATATAAGAGTCAAAGTGAAATACAGAAAAGAACATCCAAGAGTATCAAAAACCTCTGCTACAACAGCCTGTCCTACATCACATAGGAGCTACATAGTTTTAGTTTGTAAGAGAAAAGACAAAAATGAGGAACAGTGAACAAGACGCCACTAGCAAGGACAGAGACATGGGGTTGCTCTTTAGATTTCGATGAAGGTAGCAACGCCTCATGATCTCATCTGGTGGAAACACAGCTAGAAGCATGCCAAAGTACAGATAATGATTCCAGCCTCTACTGTACAGTAGGAAACAACTAGCATCAGACCTAGCTCTGCCGACTTATCTCACCAAAATGTACCAAGTGCATTAACATGTCTTTGCTCCCTGTTGCAAAGAGGATGCCACTTCTTCTTGTCCATCCTCAACCCTGGACATGCTTGCTACTACCTCATGAGAACGCCTCAGTACGTCCCTGCAGGTCGTGCTGGCAAACCAGCACCCTTCTTCTGTTTTATGCTGCAAACCAGGAGTGTTTGTTTTTGGAAATTATACTAATGCTTCAATATCAATTGTTAACAATGTGAACAACGTTATAAATAGTTTATTATTTTGAACAGTTATACATATAATGCTATAAAACAACATTATGCACACACAAAAATCAAAGTCAGGCAGAAAAAGTGTGTTGTCTTTAAACATTAACAGTTATTTAAACAGTTTGGACAGTCAGATGAAAAAATACGCCCTGCTCTGCATTTATTTATGGGCTGTTCATGGCTGTCAGCTGGGTTAAAACCCTTGGGACATCCTGGGCAATGCAAAACTCTGACCTTCAAATGATCAGTGACAGTTTAAATAAAAAGAGAAAGAGCGGAAGAAAGACAGAAACTCAGTGAAGCGCTTACCAAAGAGACTAAAATTGGCCCAGTGTGTTCTTTAGCCATGAAATGCAAAAACGCTCATGTTGCACTGAGGAGAAGTGAAAGGAGCTTTAGACTTCACAGCATGAGAAAGTTCACAGCCATGGAGGACTTGTCCTTCTAGACAGAAGTGATGAGATTACACACTATACATTCCGTGCTGATCACATCTGATCATGAGAATTCAGAAACTAGCTTCTCAGCCTGTGGAACTGATGGGAAATAAAGTCTTGTTGTTTATCTCCTTGTTGAGATATGGTCATTTTTTTATCCTGGCTAACAATGTGAAATAAAATGACATATAAAGTCATATAAAATGCTACAATCACTGATCTATATTCCCTATGTTTAAACTGATGTTTCATGTGCAGCACATGTGTTGCCCCATGGGAGAACAGAGGGATGGAACTCAGCGCCTCGTCTCAAACACTGTGCCCTCCTCATCCCTTCTCTGGTCTGCTGTGCTAGATGTGACATAACAAAGTCTAACTGAACACAGCACTCTCTTCCAACCGTGTTAATTGCTGTAATTACAGCGGGGTTAGATTATGTGACATTTTGTACATTCCCGCAGGGTCTGTGACGGCTCTCTGTTCAAACACTTTGCTTGCATGTTTAAACCCTTTCATTTAGCCATGAGAAAAACAAAGGCTTTTGTTGAAGACTGGAACACAAAAGAGAAAAAGTGAGTTCACAGCTACAACCGGTCATATGACGAAGTTTAAAACCAGACAACTGCGTGTGGCATGAGGGCCACACTTAGACAGTGGTATGTCAGTTTTACAGGTGGTGTGTCCATTTATCTGACATACCACCTGCCCTAGTCTGCGCACACACACACACACACATGTCCTACCTTGGTGTCAACAATGGAACAGGAGATTTGTTTCACATAAGCCAGGTCAGCAGACTGGGGCATCAGGACAGGCTCTCTGGTCAGACCGATCTGGATGATGAAGGACACCCCGGCCGGAGTGGGAGGCACTGAGGGCATCATGGGCCCACAAGGAGCCTGCCCTAGTGTCAGGTCCACTACAGGGAAACCAGCTTGAGGAGGCACAGAGGGCATGGAGATGGGCATCCCTTGCTGCATCACAGCCGAGCCAGGCGGTGAGGAGCCCCCAGGAGGAAAGAAGATCTGGGCCATGACCCCTGAGGGCATACATGGACTGGCATTAGCCATTCAGAGTCTACTGGCTGCCTGAAGCTCTCAACAGACCCACTCGCGAACACACGCCCACGTGCAGAGTTCTCAGAAAACCCACACTCATTCAAACTGTCTCAGTGGCAGTGAGAGGGGCACACACACACTGAAACATGAATACACACATAGACCCTGAGGAGAAAGCTCCGGTTCCTCTGTGGCCCGTGTCCACCCCCTCCCAGAGGCTCAGGGAAAGAATCCTTATCCAGGAAGCAGTGGCTTTTCCTCCTTTCAGCAACTTTTGTCGTGCTCTCTCTCTTGTCAGACTTCTTTTATTGTCCAGGCATCACAAGCACGAGCAGTGTGTGTGTGTCAGAGGCTCATAAGGAAGAATCACTGTGGGTAAAAACTACCCTCTGCTGCTGCTTGTCCTCCTCCACCTCTCTTGTCCAAAGAAGTTGTTCTACACAAGAGAAAGTCCAAAGTTGATAGTGAAACTCCCAGCCGTAGGAGAGACAAAACACAAAAATGGCAAACTTTGTTGTGCTCTTCACCGGGCTATGTTACAAAATGGCCTCCTTAAACAGGAAACTGTGAGAATGAAGGAGAGCAAAAGACTTTTATGACTCTTGCCGTGTTTCAGTTTCAGCCCCAGTTCAGTCTTTTTTGTATGTGAGAGAAAAAAAAGCACGCACACAGAGCTAGAGAGAGACCTGAGCGTACCTCCCTCTCCCCTCCCTCCTGCTCCCTCATCTGAGATCTTGCCATAGCAAAGGAGGAAGTGAAATCACTGACACAGCCTGAAGCCAATAGACTCTCAGAAGGTCCCGCCCTTTGGCTCCCTGCTCCCGCCCTTTGGCTCCCTGCTCCCAGCCTTCTCCCTCCTCCCTTGGTTTGGGGTCGTTCATCCTGTTTGCTCCCTCCCTGAGTTAAGGCCATAGCAAAGATCCTCTTACATCGCCTGAAGGTGCAGGTTTACACTCAAAAACCCACCCCATCTTCACTGTATTTACTACATTAGCCTCTTTCTGTGAAAATGTATTTTCTGCCTTGTTTGTCCTCAACACTTTTTCTTTTCATTTTTAGCAGACAACTCTTACTCACACTGTAGAAGAGGATCACACCTATTGTTAGTGCTGTTGTCATGCAAAGATGACATCAGATTTCAGTGAAGCTGGGACTTTTTGTGACAAATTAATCTGCAATCACCAGCATATACAATATGATTAGTTATCACAATCAGCAGCACCACAGTGACTATGCAACACTGATTCAATTTTACAGAGAAGGGATGCACATGGAAATAGTTTTGAAAACCTCCCTAGATGGTAATACTGAAACTCACTAACTGCATTAAGTTCACCACCTTCAGCTTAGCTTCTTCCCAGGGGCATCATGCTTCTCTCTGTGAAGCTGTTTCAGTTTCCAGTTCATTAAAACAGATGAAGCACAGGCAGGTGCCCTCTGCAGAGACTGTGAGGTGACTAGAGACCCCAGTAACTCAGCTGCTTCAAGCAGTTGGCCACAAGGGGGCGGTGTTTGCTATAGATGGGTATTTTACCTGAAGATTGGGTCTCATAACAAACAGACATGATATCAGGTGATGTTCCATTAAGGGAGGAAACAAAATGTTGTAGCAAACATGTACCAGCACCTTCTAAAACACATGCTAAATATGTATTTTTGATGTGTGTATGCATATATATATCCAATGTTTAGGTAAGATTTACAAACTGTTACTTACCCAGGTTCTGATTATACAGATTTTATGATGTAGTAGGGAAAAGAGATCTCAGGTTCTCCAACCAATTTCTTTTGGATGTCCTGAGATCGAGGTGTAAACAGTGGGGTGGCATGGCTTTTGCTACGGTTGCTCCCAACATGTGGAATGTCTTACCACCAGAGATAAACTCCATTTCTGACCAAGCACTTTTTAAAACAAAGCTAAAGACTCACTTACTCACTTTGGCATTTTATACCAAGTAGAGCTCTGACATCTTCTGTCTTTCCTCAACAGTGGTGTATATTCTTTTACTCCCTTCTTATTGTGGTTTTGCTTATTTGATTGAATTGTGAAGCACTTTGGTCAGTGTTGGTTGTGTTTAACATGCTCTATAAATTAAACTGAATGACAGTTTATTCTCAACCTTGGAACCTTAGCAACTGAGCAAACGACATCCTGAGGAAGAGTCACTTAGTAAATGGACCTTGAGTTAAGACTTTTGTTTTCCTTCCAAACTTTCTATAATCTGAGGAAATGACCTCAGTATTGTCATCAAGGTTTTATCCTTTTTGGATTATAATAATAAAAATTTAAATTTAAATGTGTGCCTTACAAACTGGGGACTTACTAATGCTACTGAATTGCATTATGGGAAGTGTCAGTTCCAGCATTTTTGGATCTTGACCCACATTAAGGACCACTCAAGCCATAATCTCCGTCTCTGCTGCATCTATTTTGGTTTGATTGTTCAGTCTCTTGCGTGTTGACAGACTTTATGAAAGGGGAATAAAAACGTGGAATACCTCTCTAACAATCCTAGGACAAATGTTTTTAATCTTACTATTGTGTGCTGAAAATATAGAATATTTTAATGGAGATTTCATAATGCTGTGGTTTTTGCAAGGGAAAAGCTCTTGAACTTCTTTTTTCCCCCCAAGGACACAAGAAAAGACAGCACAAAAAGTCTGAATTCACTGTACAAAATCTTCATTTTTTGTTTTTTTCTTCCTTAATGACATACAACAGGGGACCCGTAAACAAAAAGAGAAAGTCATTTGATACACGCTAGAATGCAGTTCAAAAATATATAAAACAAAATTAATAAAAAGCAGGTCTCTTATCCCTTGTAGTTAGAGGAAATAGTTTGAAGACAGCTTAATATGATGTACAAAATATCACACAGTGATAAATTGCTAATAAAAAAATAAAAACAAAGAAATGAGAGTCCTTTACCTTGGCCTCCGACTTAGAGCTCATTTTTTGAACTTATTTTTCCTCATTTTTCGCGTTTTTAACCGTTTCGCTTCCTTACAAGTTATACATTGCCATTATCAATCACAAGCAAGTTCTATGCCTAGTGAGGAAGAATGATTCACTTATGATACTACAATATTATTACATCTTAATAATCATATTCAGAATCAAAGAAATGCAAGAAGAAAACAAGAAAATGATGGGCATTTACAGCACATAATGGCATCTCTAGACATCATTTACAACCTCTGATTTCTTTTTTGTGGTGTCACGCTGATTTGTCTTTATTCTCACAGATGGGACGTACTGTGAAAGCTCAGAGTGAAGAGACAGCATCGATCTGCCTTTAGTAATTCTCACTATAAAATAACCATGAGCAAACGGCAGGTTCTACCCTCGTATTTACTCCAGACTCTATAAGAAACACCTGCGAAACATTATTTCTGCACCCTGTCTGTTTGTGACCACTCCAAATCAAAAAGCATCCACTGCTAGATGTAGTGCAAAGTCAAGCCAAATAGTACAGTTAATTAGTTGCACCTGGTTGAAAAGCTGAAGAATACAGCTGAATAATTTCTTGTTTAATTTCAGGCAACAGTCCATCACCCTGTTTGAGAGGAAAAATCTGAACTATGAATGCTAGTTTTCCCAGTGATTAAGAGAGGAGTGTTTACACTTAAGGTCTGACCCCTAGTGCGACCCTGTAATCTTAAAGAGGCGGAAGGTGCAACTTAAACTTCTTTAACACCAGATTTTATCAAAGAAATTTAACAAAATGACCAGTCAAGTCAGCTGTTAAAGGGCAGCATTTACCCAAAGCAAACAAACATGTCCTGTCAGTATAAATGCAGGACACAAGACGGACTAGCTGCTGAAACAGGTTACGAATATTAACCCAAACATCTCAAATCAGTCCTTTTATTCCAATCTGAAATGACAAAAGGGACTGAATTTCAAGCAGACTTGCTTCTTTTTTCCGCTGGAGCTAGTTCTTCTAGCATGGCTCTTCAGAAAGGGGAGACCAGCTTCACATCATCAGCTCTCAGGGTAACGTGCTACTGTGCAACACATGCACAGACAGGAAGAGGGAAATCGCCCCATCAACGCAGGTGACGCCAAGCTTTTTGGAAAGCCTGAATAAATAAATGCCTTTCCATCTACAAACTGGCACCGGCTTCAAGATGAAATGAAAAAGGTGAACCGGCCAGCTCTCGACTTGCTACACAAACCGTCTCAGTTCGAGCAAACCTGAACCGAGCCACGCTGACATTATTCGCATCCTTCTAATGCGAAACATTAACAGTGTCTGTTAATTCTGAAATGTAACCACAGTTTATGAAATGACTCGACAGTGCGATATCATTGAAAAAGCTGATTCACTCGATGCACATCTATAGCCTGATGAATGGCGTAAACAATCTCTCTGTCACACGAACGCACACAAAACAGGTCCCTGATTCTGACTCAAGACGGACAAGGTCTTTCATAGCACCGTGATTTAACTAGTGCATATACAAACACACGCGCGCTCTTTTGTACAGTAAAAAGCACCAAACGACACCATCTGCATCATTTGTTGGGTGACCACCCCCCCCCCCCCCCCCCGCCCTGTGCTCTCACAATCTTTAGCTGGTTATGTTGTGTGAGGGCGTCATTCTGCAGAGCTGGATTCAAACTGCACATCTGCAGAACCGAATCGTTATTGTGGAAATATGCTCATTCATCTTGTACAGCAGTGTTATCTCACACGTACAAATATGCGGAGGCAGAATCACGGGGACACTTGGATACTCAGACATACAATGAGACTTGGTATCTTGGCGATAAAGTTGAAATTAAAGCTATTTGTTCAACACTGGTTGGCGGCTGTCACATGCCTCCTCACATCGCACGCACAACTATGTCAAACATTGTCCAACCACAAATACGACACACACACATGCACACACACTCTCTCTCTTTACCCCCCCCCCAGAGTCTTTGGAATGTAATACACCGAATCCCAATGCAGAAGCCGGTCAGGGTGTCTTCTACCAATGTGGAACTATTACCGTTTGAAGTCATGTCTACATACGTATGTTAGCCACAAACACATTTTCAATTAGTATTAAAAAAAAGATCTCGAATAAAATGTGGTGGTGCATTTGTGCAATATGTGCACTGTGCAGTGCGAGTGTTTCATGTGAGTAGTGTGTCAGCAGTTCAAGTGCACAAACAAACACACTCGGTGCTTTGTAAAGACCGTTGGCAGACTGGGGAAAAAAAAGAAGAACAGGAGAGAATTGTAGTGTAGAAAAGTGTTAGTCCAAACATGACTATGAAAACAGAGCAGCCAGGGTTTTAAACTTGTAAAAAAAAAAAAAAATGGTGTGATAAGTATTACAAGAAGTCGCTGAGGCATCGGAGAACAGTGAGGAATCAAGGGGACGGGGACGTCCTGTGGCAATGACCCAGCCAGTGGGGTGCAGGACACGCATGTGTGTGTGTGTGTGTGTGTGTGTGTGTGTAAAAGCAGGTGAAATTTGTCCACTGTAGTCTTCAGTCTCTTTTGGCCCAGTTGTGGTTGAAGGACTCTAAAGGCAGAAAAGCAGGGAAACAAAGTCAGACCAACAGCAGTTGGGAACCACTCATGACTATAATGTATAGGCAAAACATATTAAGCCCCATCTCATTAGAATGTAGACTCACTGGCCACTTTATTAGGTACACCTGTACAATTATATGCAATTCAATGCAACACTCTGCCTTAACATCTGTTTATGAAGCTCAAAATGTTTTGATGAAATTGTCATAAATGTATAAATTCTATTATATCTTGATTACTGAGGTCATAGTTAAAGGTGGTGTTGTCAGAATATTAGGAACACCTCTGAATATAATGCAGTGTATATTAAGCTCTTAGAAACACATTAAGCTTTGCATCACCTGCCCCACTCGTCCCGTCTCACCAGAAAGACGAATGCTGTCAGACGAAGATCTTGGCAAGTGCATCTGCGCCAGCGCTGGCGATGAAGGGCTGTGAAGAGTGGAAGGCCACGTCATGAATGGCCTCGTCGTGTTTCTTCCTGTGAGCCGTGATCTCCTGCACACACGTCCTGTTGTCCAGCATCCACAGGCGCACTGAGCAGTCGTGACCTGCGGGGGGCAGAGAGAGATCACACAGGAGTCCTTTATACTGTTTTACAAGCTAGACTTTAATGCATAGCTTCCTCTGCAATGCAGTATACTGTCATTGAACCATGACCGCAGATTGTACCTAAGCTTTCTGATTGTTTTGTTGTAGATTTTGATGGTGTATAGCAGAAAATCAATTTTATTTTTATGGTATAAATAATCCTGAATTTTCATTACCTTACAAACTTTTGTTTTTTTCTTCCCCTTTTTAAATTGATACAACCAAATTAATTAAATTCCCACAAAACATCCAACTGTACACAGAACAGACACAAAGCTAACTGTTAGCATTAAATTCTCTCTCTGGGTACGAGGATGTTACATGAAAACAACAGCTCTTCGTTGCCGTTTACAGAGGGAATACAGATAATTTACAGTATCTCAGAAATAATGTAAACTGGCTTTTTCCTGGGGGAAGCCTGTTTCTAAGATTCAGATTATAACATGTTCAGCTAAACAAGGACAGAATATAAAGCTGAGTGGTACTCACTGCCAGAGATGAGGTAAGTGCCTTTAGGGTCTGTAGTAAGACAGGTGACTGCATCCAAGTGAGCCACCATTGAGTGGACAACTTTACCTGTACAAAACACACAAAGACACACAGTTTATTTAGGCGCATTCATATTCCAGGAAAAATAGGTTGAACGAGGAATTTAAAAACGACAAGTAACAAATAAAAGGGCTCCTGCAGATACCCGTCTTGTTGTCTAGGAAGCGGATGGTGCGGTTCTCATGTGCAGTGATGGAGATGGGCTCAGATGGGTGACTGACCACACGGTTGATTTGTTCACTCCCTGCAAAGGCCGACAAATACTGTAACTCCATCTGAATCGAATGGGTTTTATTTCATTTAATCAGTTGTATTTTTAACTCGTCTCTGAACAGGCAATATTACTCATGATGGAAATTCTGTTGTTGCATATTGGGCGTTGGGGTCAGAACTTACCATCCTTGGTGTGCGTCTCTAGGGCAGTGATGCTCTGCTCTGTGCTGAGGTCGTAGAGCACCGTCTCACTGCCGTCAAACGATACCACCACCTGGTTGGGGTCAGTGGCCACAAAGGCTACCGAGGTGGGTGTTCCGTGCTCTGGGAGAAAACAGGAGATGGGAAATTTGTAGGCCATGGAAACATTACAAAAAGCTTCACAGTGAGTTTACACAGATGTCTACCTCTCTCCTTATTGAAGACAGACAGGCAAGGGGACGGGTTCTGGGGGTCCCATATACGAATGGTGCCATCGGCAGAGCATGAAGCAAGACGATGATGAACTGCCGAGTAAGCCAGACCCCACACACTGTCCTCGTGGCCTGCTAGTACACTGCTCTCAATGCCAGGATCTGAATGAAAAAATGCACATATTAAGAAAAAAACCACCAGGAACACACTTCTAAACTGTAGATTTACTTGGTGGTTGCTAAATGCTCAGTTGGGAATGACTAACCATAATTATCATAAGGATCCACATTGAGGTCTGGCATCTTCCAACACCGGACTGTTCCATCCAAACCTCCGCTGTAGCAGGAGTCTCCGTCTTCGCCCATGGTCAGTGACAGAACAGCTCCACTAGACAAGGAAACAAAGCAGCATCAGTGGTTGCATTGTGTCTGTGCAAGATGCAAAAATGCAGGATACAAACATGTCGCTGACTCAACTCACCTGTGTGCTCTAAATGTGTAGATGGGCTCAACATCCAAAGCTGCATTCCTGTGGGTGGAAACCGCCTTTTAAATTTGTTTCTTGGTTTTATTTCATTGCTCTTTTTTGATTTGATATTTGCATGTTATTTCTGTCCCGCTGCTGCTTGGTTGTATGAAAGTGCTGTATAAATTATTTCCTTGTTCTCCATTTCCATTACTAGAGCTCCCTATGGATCTCAGGGGGCTTACTTTTTAGAGTGTATGGCCTTGTTGAGGTTCCACAGTTTTAGTGTTTCGTCCTCAGAGGCTGTAAGCAGCACCGCTTGGCTGGGGTGGAAGGTCAAAGCGCGGATGGCGTCAAAGTGGCTGCGTAGTGTGAAACGAGGGTTCCATGTCTTCTTAAACTCCTCTCTGTTATCCTGCATCTGACAGGACAATGTGTTTAAAACATCTGTGAACATTTACATATATCGAGTGTGCATGTATGTACGTGTTGACCAGGACAAACGTCTAATTACATCCATGGAGAGATCGTTGTCATTGGCAACAGTGAGATCAGCCAGTTCACCCAGGTTCATGTCCCCTCCTCCAACAGCATCCATAATGAAGACATCAGATGCGAAACCTAGGGCGCCACCTGCAGGTGGGAGGTGGAAAAACACAAGCACTGCTACTGCTCTCTGACAATAAATACAGGCTGGAATAACTGTAAAATACAGCAATAAATCCAAGATCTCCCTGGCAAGAGTCCATTGGTGCCGTTTCCTTCCTCCCACACTGTGTACCAGAGGAGATATTTATAGGCGTGTGGGTAACTTCACCCCTGTACAGGATTTAAAACTGAGACAGGACAGGATCTAAAATTGAGATTCCAACATTATACATGTGGGATACAGGGAGGACTGGGGAAGAGTACTCGTGAGAGAATAGTCTATGGTTTTTTTTTTTTTTTTTTATGGGGGGGGAAGGGTTTCCTCCACCA